AAAAAAAAAAAGTTTAAAGATTTACTCATCCAAATGGGATATTTCGTTAGATTTTTTATAACATTTCTCTTTGAAGTTGTCAAAGATTTGTTGATAAGTTGTTGGAGATTAATATTTGATATATCTGTGAAAAGCAATAAGAATGTGACGAGGGAATTAAGGTAAAAAGCTTACCTTCCATTGGCAGCGTTCCATTGAAATTATTATATCTCAAGAGAAGGGTTTTCAATTTCAAATGAGGAAGAGGAAGAGGAGACATTCCTGAAATAGAGAAAGAGAGACGTAAGCCAAATGAGGATTTAATGGATTTCAAATTTGTATAACTTTTTTTTGTTTAAATAAAAGTASTCATCCAATTGGAATCCACATCAAATGCATTACTTTTTATTTCAATTTTTCCAAGTTATAAAGAGATTAGTATTTAACAATCTAACCATTTAGCGTTAGTGACTCAAGCTCACAACCAGTCAAGTCAAGTGTCTCCAACTCTTTCAAGCCAGATAATTCTGCATATAAAAGGAAAATTAGAATGACAAAAGTAATTGATGATACTAAAGATTAAATTTAGTCTTTTCGAACATGCCTCGGATGGGAAAGGAATCTCTTAGCAAATAATTCTCTAAAAGGTCAAGAGTCTTGAGGGATGAGAGAGCACTTAAGCATGAAATGATGGTCTTGTTGAAGTAGTTATAGGAAAGAGTTACACTCTCCAACTTTTTCAGTTTTGACAATCTTCTACAATCTGTGGAAAAAAAAAGGCGCATTTGATTATGAATTGAGAGCTTTATATTTTGAAGTATGCACAAGATACCATGGCTAGCTCTCCTTTTACCTTGGATACTTGGTGTGTCATTGAACCCGTTCGAGCTTAAATCCAACTTCTCGAGGTTAGTCATATGGGCTAATTCTGTCACGTGAAATAAATCATAAATTAATCATGTTCCACAAGTTTGATCTAAATATTCATACGAGAATTGTTACTCGACAATCGATGTATGTAACAAAAACTGAACATGACAAATGAAGTTCTTAATTTTGTTCATCACATAGTCCTTATAAATATCGTACATTGTGGCAGTTTNGATGTATGTAACAAAAACTGAACATGACAAATGAAGTTCTTAATTTTGTTCATCACATAGTCCTTATAAATATCGTACATTGTGGCAGTTTTTTTATAAACACTTTTTAACAATCCAACCATTAAATTTTGGTGACTCAAGGTCACAATGGCTCAAGTCAAGTGTCTCCAACTCTTTCAACCCAAATGATTTTGCACACGAATAGAAAATTAGAATGACCGATTAATAGATAATAGTAAAGGTTAATCACTAAAATAGCCATTTTAAGACGCGTTTTATCACATTTCGAATTTTTTTACAAATAACCACAGAGTTTGCAAAATAGGTTATGTGAACTCCTCACCCTTTAGCCATCAATGTTTTTTTTCTCAAAAGCGTGGAGTGGTGGTGGTTATGTAGTGAAGGGTGGGAAAGTGAGAAATCAGGAAAGCTCTTAAAAGGGTAGGTGAGCTCTCAAACCCGCTTTCAAGGTATTACAAGTAAGGATGACTTTTTGTATTTAAGAACATACCTTGGATGGGGAAGGAACCTCCGAACCAATTCCATGAAAGATCAAGAGTCTTGAGGAATGGAATAGTACTTAAGCATGAAATGATGCTATTGTTGAAGTWGTTATGGTCAAGATTCACACTCTCCAACTTTTTCAATCTTGATAATATTCTACAATCTGTGAAAAAAAGAAGTTACTTTAATTTAAAGAACTCATTTTTGTTTCTTCTAAAATCTTTAGTTATGGAAGAGTTAAGAAATAATTATGAATTGAGAGCTTTATAGTTTGAAGTATGCACAAGATACCATGGCTAGCTCAGCTCTCCTTTTACCTTGGTTACTTGGTGTGTCATTGAACCCAAAATTCCAGCTTAAATCCAACTCCTCCAAGTTAGTCATATGGGCTAATTCTGYCACGTGAAATAAAGCATAAATTAATCATGTTCCACAAGTTTGATCCAAATATTCATACGATAATCGTTACTCGATAATCGATGTATGTAACAAAAACTGAACATGACAAATGAAGTTCTTAATTTTGTTCATCACATAGTCCTTATAAATATCGTACATTGTGGCAGTTTTTTTTTTATGAACACTTTTTAACAATCCAACCATTAAATGTGGGTGACTCAAGGTCACAATGGCTCAAGTCAAGTGTCTCCAACTCTTTCAACCCAAATGATTTTGCACACAAATAGAAAATTAGAATGTCAGATTAATAGATAACAGTAAAAGTTAATCACTAAAATAGCCATTTTAAAACGCGTTTCATCACATTTCAAACTTTTTACAAATARCCACAGAGTTTGCAAAATGGGTTAAGTGAACTCTTCACCCTTTAGCCATCAATGTTTTTTTTTTCTAAAAAACATGGAGTGTTGGTGGTTATGTAGTGAAGGGTGGGAAAGTGAGAAATCAGGAAAGCTCTTAAAAGGGTAGGTGAGCTCTCAAACCCGCTTTCAGGGTATTACAAGTAAAGATGACTTTTTGTATTTAARAACATACCTTGGATGGGGAAGGAACCTCTTAATGAGTTGTATGCAAGATCAAGAGTCTTGAGGAATGTAATAGTACTTAAGCATGAAATGATGCTATTGTTGAAGTTGTTATTGCGAAGAGTTATACTCTCCAACTTTTTCAATCTTGATAATCTTCTACAATCTGTGGAAAAAAAGAAGATACTTTAATTTAAAAAAATCATTTTTGTTCCTTCTAGAATTTATACTTATAGAAGAATTAAGAAATAATTATCGTTTGGGAGCTTTATATTTTGAAGTATGCAAAAGTTACCTTGAATACTTGGTGTGCCATCGAGCATATTATCACTTAAATCCAACTTCTCCATGGTAGTGAGATRAGCTAATTCTGTCACATGAAGTACAACATCAATCATGTGGTATGAGTACTACGTTTTCAAATTTACATTTTAAAACTAGTTTGATCCAAATATTCATTACTTTTTCTCCATCACTATTACTAGACTGAGGACGACCCATAAACTTTTTCACATATGACATCATTTAATCATAGTAGAAGTTAGAAAACCCTTTTTTTTTTAACAAAATCATATTAGATTTGTTGGTTGGTTTGTTGTAATTCTAATCCTTCTCAGTTCTTAAAATTTTTTTAAAACAAAAAATTTTGAAGCTGGAAAACATATAAGTCGAAAGTCAAAGATCATTTTGAAAGTAGACCCAAAATGTACCGTGCTATATTCATTCCCTCGGATTACCTTTTTATTTACATTTGCATATATCTACTACTTTAATAGAATTATTCATGCATGCACCTTAATTATTTCATTAAATTGTAACAAATATAACAATAAATATTATGCAATTTTAAATCTTTATGCAATCCATAGTTATCTTAATAAAAATTGAGGTTTTCCAAAGCTGCAAGTTGCTCAATATATGTAATTAGCATATTTACAACATGTTATTGCAAAAAAATAAAGAAGGTATGCAAGGACCAAAAACATGCCAAGAGCAGGGAAGTATCCTTCCAGGTTATTGAAACCAAGATCCAAAACTCTGAGCGAAGTCAGAGCACCCAATGAAGGAAATATGTCATTTCCAATACTGTTACCAAAGAGGTCCAGTATCTCCAAATTCTTCAAACTCGACAACCTTTCAAGTCCTGGAGAAAAAAGTTAAAATGTCGTTACCAGATATCAAGGAAGGTAACTTTACAAGTAAAAATGCTAATAACATATAATGGAATAGGATGATTGGTAAAATATGTACACATATGGTCCTATGTGTCTTAAGGTATTTTGCCTATTCACATATAAGCACCATCGAGTCAAAAAAACTTATTCACTCGGATGTTCGTAAATATGAAGAGTCAATTTTCCAACAATTCATAATATTATTTGTATAGTAACTTTTTATTTTAACGGAACTTGTATAGTAACTTATAATACCTGTGCTCACAATATTGTTATCAAGACAATTCCATGACAAAYTGAGATTTGTTAACTCTTTAAAATGAAGAAAGAGTGAAACATTTAACGGCCACATACGACATGACATCCTCGTGTCGAATGCATCTTCCATACCCAACATGTTGCTCAAAGACAAGTTTGTTACATGCCCATTGATGGTGTTACATGTGACCCTTTCCCAATCACAACACTTGCCACCGCTCCTCCCCCTAGTGCTACCATCATCCACCCAAGTGGGGAGAAGGTCCATACCATATGAATCAATACGTGAGCCTTTGATTTCGAGGAGTGCCTTTCTCTCCTCTTCTACACAAACACCTTGTGTTTGCCAAATCAAGAGACTACCTATCATCATCAATATCAACAACCATGATTTAATCTTACTCACACACCAACACTCCATTTTAGTTACTATAGTAACAATGATGGCTTTTTAGACGCTCACAAATAATGCTTACTTTCTCCTTCTAGTTTGGCTCTTAAATAGAAGAAATAATCTACTACCACAATGACAAACGCAACTTCCAAGACDTGGAAAATAAAACCATCCTTTACTTTCCAACAAACTTCCAAGTTTCCATTGTTTCAAAAATATGCATGGCTCATTCAGTCAATGGTCATCAATTTCAATCCAAGTCTATTCCATTGCTTTCAATGTGTCCCTCTTGTAGAAATAAGATTGCATATTACAACACAATATACGTGTTTCTTGAATTTCCAAAAAACTTCCAAGTTTCTATGTAACATATTTTTTAAATATTTAAAAAAGTAAGGAGTACGAATTACTCTCATAACTTGAAGACAAATATATTATTGGCTTTTCAACAATCAAACCAACCTTTTTCAATTTCTCCATATAAAAACATGAGATATTTTGATTGGTTTTTAGATCAAATCGAGCCATTTTCATACGCAAAAACAGCCAGTAATATATTTGTCATAAGTTAGTAACATCTAAAAACAATAGTATTCCTCAAGTTACCTTTAACAAACCAGATTCCTATCCAAAGTGAAAATTAAACACAAAGTGCAACAACTTAAACCAAAAATTCATAATTGAAAGTTAAAAGTAGAAAATTTTACCTAATAAGTTCTCCCGCCCCCGTCCCTGAATATTTGGCTGTTAATTCTACAAATATACACTCATGTCATCTTAGAAGTTCAACACAATTGATAAATTTGTACATCATGCATGAAAGGTTAGCTTCGGAAATATTAATCTAGCAAAATGATTCAACTCACAAGACAAAAGCAATTAAGCAAACTAGCACACAACATATTAATTAAATATACATTTTTTGTCATAATCACGTAATTAAAGCATGTAGAACTATAGACTACGTTTGACACTAATATGGAAAAATTGGACAATAATTGTTTCTAGATCTTCACATTTTTACATGCATATAAATTGTTTAAATGTTCATCCTCGCTCTTTCACTTTCAGTCACAAAGTGCACAATCGCACAAAAAGAAAGAGTTACATACAAGTTGTCATAATATCTCAACATAATTAAATCRGGAAAAACAGAGAATGATCCCTAGGAATGGTCTATATGAGCCGAGACTAATAACCCTTATCGCAAGAACGCCATCCWATAATCCACCTCTTTCACATTCCCACATATATAATAAAAATTGGAACTTACGAAACAGGCACCAATACTTTTTACTGATGACAATCAACTCCTTGCTAACGGTTAAACTTTTTAATTTTCACCATTTTAATTCCAGGATTCATTTGGGTAGATATGTAATGACGCATAGAAAACAATTGATATCTACTTCAAGGAATATGAATACTAATTCCATGATACAAGTTATAAAGTCAATGGTCAATTYCCATGCATAAGTTTACTTCATTATAGACAACCACAGCTTTTGCTTTTCAAAAAGATAGGATAGCATAGCATAGCAGGATTACTCACTTCCAAAAGTATTCWTAAATTTCCACAGGAACTTCCAAATTTTCATTTGCTTTAACAACATTGCATAATACACTTCTACCTCATTAAGTCAATAGTCACTACAATCCATATATTCTCCATTGCCAGCCACTCCATCTACCTGTCGCTCTTGGAAAGATAAAAAAGATAAGCTGATTCGCAATAGAGTGGAGTGTGTATCACGGACAATATTTTCTTGACTTTTCCACGACCTTAAAAGTTTGCATGTAAAATATCAGTTTTTTAATTGATATATAAATAAGATGATTYATTATTTACATATTAACTAGCAGACCGGAAACCTCACCAGATGTGGTACGTTTTTACAATAATCYATGTCACATGTCTGATCAATCTATAACCATCATCATCACAACAATAATCCATACTATTAAAATTAAGGTGTGAAAATCATGTTAAAAAATAATATACTTTTTCGCTATGAGGAACGTTCAATATCCATGCAATTAATACCATTAGTCTATAGACAAATCTAAACTTGATTTCCTGGCCCACTTCTTTCCATTGGAGGGATAAAAGATAGAGTATGAATTACTCTCAAACTTGAAGAAGACATTATTAACTTCTCAACAATCCAACCTAACGTATCAAACAAGCCCGATCATCCAATACACTCCAACAGACATTTGGAATCGTGTTAGATCTAATTCCTATTACTTTTTTCTGGATTAYTGCAAAACTTTCGTTGTAGTTTGGCGACCTAAGGGGACACAATGGTATTGGTTCCGATTCGACAAAGGTAGAATGTCTGGTCGAAGGTSCATCCTCCCCCGTTCCTAGCTTAGCTCTCACAAACAAAAAGATTCTTCACTTGTAGCTCATCAAGTCAATGATCRTTTTCAATCCAGTATACTCCATTTTGAGCCACTCCATCTACTCATCTTTCTTGTAGAGATAAACTGATTGCATTATATTGGAGTATGTACCACTCCAATATTTTCTTGAATTTCCAACAAATTTGGGATCGGATTTGGACCAAGACCCTTTACCGGGCCCAGATCTGTAGTGTCAATAAATATTGGAGTGATGCATACTCCAATATAATGCAATCAGTTTATCTCTACAAGAGAGACAAGTAGATGGAGTGGCTGGCAATGGGATATACTGGATTGAAAATGACCACGAACTTAATGAGCTACAAGTGAAAATCTTCTTCTTTCGTACGATTTAGAAGTGATTAATGTTCTTATACCATCTTATCTCTTCAAAAAACTAAAGTCGTGGTTGTCAATCAATKAAGTAGACTTATGCATGGAAATTGACCATTTAGTTTATGAATTATATTAAGAATTTGAAATGTATACAACTATAAATTAAGGCTCACAATTGTAGTATGCAAAAGTTCATATTACACATTTTTAGAAGAATTGATTCTCTTAAAAGAAGGTTTACATTAAAATACCATGTTATGTTACTCACATACCAAGACTTGGAAAATAAAACCATACTTTACTTTCCAACAACTTCCAAGTTTCCATTTGTTCCAAAAATATTGCATAGTAGGAGCATGGCTCATTTAGTTAATGGTAATCAATTTCAATCCAAGTCTATTTTGTTGCTTTCTA